ACTACAACTGTAACAATGATTCTCTAACTCTGTAAGGATTTGCGACTAGCAATCCATTCTAACACGACCTCGCCGGAACTTCCCCGATGCATTGTGGCGACATTACAATGGCAGCCATTAGCCCGTCTTCTCTGGAATGCGCCGTCTCAATTCATCCATAGGGACGAGATGTATTGGCTCGAACATTACTTCTTCTTGAAGGCCACCAGGTACAGGCTGCGTCCAAATTTCATCCAGGTTTTGTGCCGACCGAATCGACTGGTCCTCGCAAATTCGGCTATGAGTCAACGCAACCTCCCCACCATGCATGCATAAAATCTCATTAAACTTAGAGGAGACATATCATGGATGCCGAGTTAAACGGATATCGAAATCCATCTACCCGTTCGAGGTTGAGATTGCAGGTCGATGAATGATAAGATACGGGCCTTCTATACGCGCCCATTTGCGCTGCTTCGGTGTGTTGAAATATTGGGTATTACCATGGAGCTAGCTACTTATGTGATATGCAAGGTGAAAGATTTTATTTCCTGCAAACAAATGGATTCGAGTTTAATTTCTTACTGCCATGGGCGAATGAAAAAAGCAAAATATTAAAATAATGATATTGTTCAGTAGTAAAATTACGAGCAGATATGTTTACGAGTCGTAAGTGCGAAACTCCAAAACATAGCTAATGGTTGTACTCCGCTCACGGGGAGTACGTGACAAGCCCGGGATTCAACCACTCGAACACCGTCAGACCCGTCTCGGGTGCCTCGCCGACCTTTCCCCCAGTTGCACGCCCCACCCACCGATGGTAGACGTTCTGATCCGGGTTTTGTGCCCCCGCGATCGAGCTCAGGTTGAATTTGAACTGCTCTCCATTGGCCAGGATATATTCGATGATATAACCCGTCGGGACGTCGACGCCCGCGACCGCATCGTGCTCGAGGCCGTACGGCGTGATGATGCTGTGATCTGTCGTCTTCGTGCCGTCGAGACTGCACTGGTTTTGGAGTGTCACGCCGTTGCGCGAGAGGTAGCCCGTGTTGAGGATTTTTGTGGAGTTGGTCGGCGTCACGGAGATGTACGAGAGGTCGTAGGCCCCGACCTGCGCCGTGCCGAAATACCAAGACGACACCGCTGCGTTGAGAGGAACGGGCGACCAGTTGGAGTCGTGGTACCCCTGCCCGGTGAAGCGCAGCTTTGCGCCATTGATCGTCATATCGACTTGCGAAACTGCACCTTTACATATGTTGAGTTGCTGGCTCAACGTGTAACGATATTTACTTACCGGGGATAGTCGGCGCCCAGCCCAGTTGGGTGAAAAGGACATTCTCGGCGTCGGAGAGCGTGGTACCAGCGGGGATAACGGAGGTGAAGTACGCGTCGGTGGTGGTGTTGCAACCGAAGTGATGCGGGGCGTTCGATGTCAGCTTCACTGTGCCCTCGAACCCATATTCCGGTGCGTCAAGGGTGATGGTGAATGTCGAAAGGTCGGGTGAGCCCTTGAAGCCCCCTGCACCTCCCCAAGTCCCAGTGACCTCCTCGCCAGCTGCGGTGACGGTGCCTGACGTCGCAGGGATGGTGGCATTAAATTGTGTGCCGTTGGGGAAGAATCCGTTGATGACGATGTAAAATTCCGGGGCGGTTGGATCACGAGGGCCAAGCGCGAATGGATAACCTGAGAAGGAAAAATGAGTGGGTGAAATTTCAGTGGATGCGGGCTATGTTCACCTTGGTAGAACAGGTATTGGAACGCGGCGGGGGGGTTGTTGCCTACGGGTTCAGCGATAGCGTGGCCCCACCACCATTCGACCGCTTCATTCAACGAGTTCGCGTTGATGTACTGCCCGTCAAAAGGAATGGCATCTCTGTGAATAATACGCGAGGCAGAAGGAATTGCTGCAAAAGCATAAAAATCGAGACGGGGGCTCGACAACGGATTTATAAACACACCTAAAGTCGTAAGGGCGACAGCCAAGGCTAGAACATTTTTGGAAGGTGAAGGAAAGTGCATGGTTTTGAAGTGACCTGTTAAGTTCGCAGTGAATCCCCCGCTTTTATACGACGCCGCAAAATGCCTTCCACCGGTGTCGGCAAATGTCGGCCATGCTGCGTCAATCATGCGTGCGGAGAGACCTGTCGGGCGGGCTACTACTGAGTTGCTTACGAGCTTTTTTTGTGTTGAAACTCTAAGTAACACATGATTATGGATCCACATAACATCGGCGAAAGGGAAAGCCCGCGAATCCGCGCAGGCCGTACGCATGGGACCTGTCGGAACAATATGATGCGGACACGGATATTCTGCAAAGTAGCATCCTTACATTGCAACCCGATACACTAAATAAATGTATTAGTATCGGGGACAATCTGATCCGGGTGTGGATATTCTGCAAAGTAGCATCCTTACATTGCAACCCGAGATACTAATTCAACATATTAGTACTTATCGTTGACCCTGATTCCGTTGAATTAAACTACCATCTACTACCATCCGGGAATGGCGAACAGCGCGTACCAAGCGGCTGCCAAGCGACTACCAAGCGGCTACCGACGGAGACGGGTAAGTTATCCATTCAAAGGATGTTTTTCCGCGTCCTCCTTCATCCCCGACACCGCGCCGACAGAATGCAGGCGTGTGGCGAGTTGCTGTGTAGGACAAGTGTAGGACGATGGCAGCGGAGGATATGAGGAGATCGGCAATTGATTGCCCGGAGCTATCCGGACGCGGTAATGCGTCCGATTTGGTTCAGAATCACAGGCGATTTAGGAGGATAAAAATGGGAGGGGCTACCCACTTACTGTAACATTTCACCGAGAAACCGCCGAATCTTTCGATGCCGGACGTCCGTAACTAGTCGGAGCCGGTCAATTTCCTTCCGTCTGTCATTTTTAGACAAAAAATATATCTTCTCTGGATATCAGTGGAAACGTTTAAAGGCTCATTTGGTCATCCCCTCATTGCAGTTTCTGACCAAAACTGGGGCCTATGAGCTAACCCAATGGGTGCGACAACAGGGCGAAGCTTTAACATCTTGACCCCGTGGTCATCGGGCAGCAGGATTTTCTAACGGCAGTGCCGTCAGGGACACAAGCAAATTTAAAACAGAACGAAACCCGCGGAATCAGCGAGATATGTTCAGCCAATGACATACAGATCGACAGCGCCCCGGAGAGCGTGTGTCCCGAGCCACGCCCCAGCAATTCATAAACTGCCGGGAGAAGGGGGCGGACGACGAGTACGCCGACTCACGCTGAATGGGAACATGAAGACAGAGGTCTTAATGCAAAAGCCGGCATGTTCGATCTTTTGACGCCGAATTTATTATTACTCTGGAAACGTGATGTATCATACGAGTACGCAAGAACATATACAAAGTCACGCACGAAGTATTCTGCTTAACTTCCGTCGCTTCAAGGATCTAGTCCCTGCCCCGGTGTCGGTCGATATAGTAATGGCTTGCCGCTCGCGCCTTCCAGCTGTGACTGTCGAATCATTCGATTATAAAAAGCTCAGCGAGAGGGGTTTCCTCCATAATTCGTTGGAATAACCGGTGTTTAGGGTTGCGATTCAACGAGTACTTGTTGGAGTAGCCGCTTTAAGTGTATTTGGGGATGACTCGGAGATGCGACGACTCGATCGCGAAGAATATGGGGAATCGCCTCGGGTGCTTCCGTTGCGCGTTTGGTGAGATCATCATCATCCTACATGAGACACATCAACGAAAGCGAGAATAATGTAGTGAAAGCCGGAATTATTTACTAAGTAACTTCAAAGGGAACCAGATGGCACAGAAGACAGCAACACAAAAAGCACTCACGTGCGCTTATCTTTCTTGAAACTTCCGTCACACGATTTGCAAGGACAGGGTCTTCCAAGGGTCCTCGGAGGTCTTGAGTGCAGTGGGGCTTGCAGAGTATCGTCCGTGATTTGGACCTATTCGCGGACGTCTCTTGTCGGCGAAGCTACTCGTCAAACTGAGCGAATCGCGGCACGCACCAGTTCGGGCCGGTAATGTCATCATCGTTGGTGGCGGAGTTTGAATTTCCTTTTTTTTTGGGGGGGGGAGGGCATTTGGGATAATGAAACTCAGTCTGCAGAAGCATTCCAAGCTCATCCGCTTGTGTCAGACTCACTGGGTTTTAGCCAGTCGTTGCCGGTGAGAATTTGCCCAGGTGGAAATGCTGTTATGCACATGTTTAAACCAGTGTGGGACTCGGGCCCGAAAATCTATCCTATCCCATGTCTCTCGTTCATGGGCCGCATACCCACTAAAACCCCCTCGTATGTCCAATCATCCGGCAGTGAATCCTCATCCAGAAGTAGTCCACTCCAGGTGTTTAATACCAGTTGTTTTTTCAACGCGAATGGTCCAAACCTAATTTTATCTGGGAAGAAGCGGTCGCGTTGTGAGGCACGATTCACAGACCGCAGCCAGAGTTTGAGTTTCCATACACGCACTCCAACACAACATCGTCGGACAATCCAAGCATACTCATCTGGGGAAGAGACAAGTAAGAGGCACCCTAACCAGATATATCCCAAGGCTCCTGGATCCATTTTGAGGAACGTCACCCTGGCGCTGGCGAAGTTCATTCAATTTACATCCGAGTACGTAATTTCCAGTCCAGCAGTGTCCACTTTGAAGAGCCGTGTAAAAGGGAGCGGGTACTGAAGGGATTGAGTTCCGTATACGCTTTCAGGGCGCAATAAAACAATCTGTGACCATTCCTTCCGTCTAATCCTCTGACAATAACCGTTCAAATGCGATGTGAGCAAATTATTGAGCGGATAGATGTATTCGCGACCCTCCACGTGGTGGTCTTGGGTGGAGGCTCCGATAGAACACTGTATCGTGTTATCAGTGTTCAAGGCCCACAGTAATATACATTCCTTCTCCTCCTTCTCCGTATCTGATCCTTACAGTAATAGGTGAAGCTCAATCGTCCTACTAGTACCACCCAGACAGCTCTTTCCTCGACAGATATTCCGATTTCCGACGTCCACCATCGGGCATATGGTGTAGATGGTTATCACGCCCGCTTAGCATTTCTGCTTTAGACGCCGGAGTGGTTGCGGGAGGTCTGGAGTTCAAGTCTCCATCTGTCCAAGTCTTTTTGGATTTCACGCCCCAAATGTCGTCTAAAGGTTTCAGCAAGTCGCCTGTTCCACGAGGATCAATTGACGGCGTCGCCCCGCCGCGTCGGTCAACCAACCGGATCCGTGATGTGAGCACCAAATGTTTGAGCCAGCCGACGAATTCCATGAGGAAAAATTGATGGCGTGCAACTTCCGGAAGTTCTGCCTAGTTCCGCCAACTGATTGGTCAACTTTTTACATTATAACCGAATTATCCTCTGTTCTCGGATGAGCCGGAAACCAGCAGCAAGTTCAATTTCCTGTATAAAATTTGGGGGAGGGAGGAGGAAACAAACCCGGTGGGATCGATGGTAATCGGATTCGATGGCGCATTCGGATGGTCTATTATTTCGCGTAATGCAGTGGAGGAAAATATTTCGTTAATATTCGAGCCTCCACTTGGAAGTTATCCGGGATTCGACACTTAAACTTGAAGTTCGACTTGGGTAATCCGGATCAACTATATTTGATCGGACTCGCAACTCCTAAAATTTCAGCCACAGCCAAAGCTTTATTAGTATGCACTCTGATAATAAACTTGACAGAATAGTGCGTGTGAATAGGAAGCTCGATAGGCATGAAACCAGAATATTTGATGGAGAATGATTTTATACAGTAATATAGAAACTTGAAGAAGTAAACAGTAAAGGGTGAAAGACATGAACAGACAGCAAGCACTGGGTCGTGTATTCATGCAAGGACACCGGCGTCGCACTTTCTCTCGAAAACAATCTACAATTAGCAAGACAACTAGTAGGCCAAGTTCTCCTCCAGCGGCTTGTAGAATGAGAAATAATAGTATCACCATTGACGCATTCCGAGCAAATTGTGATTTAATACCCGAAAGCGATCTAGGGATCCGACCCAGCAACAATCAGACATTCCTTGACCATGAGGCTCTTTGTTCCCTCGAGAGCGTGTCCGATAACATGGAGAGCTTATGGATTCAAGCCGAGCCTTCTTCCGCTGAACGTCAAGAGGAGGAGGAGAGTCTCGCTTCCATTTTGAGCCCATCGTTACAGCATCAGCTAGCCGCTCGAGAACATCGGAAACCGGGATGTCTTCTGTGAGCCGCTGGAATAGGCCGGTATTGAGGTTGCCGACAGGTTTCGAGGTTTCGGGGGCTGGGAGCGTTTTTAGATGAGTTTGGGCGGGAAACGATGTGATAACGCGAAGAACACAAAATGTTCCATCGCTCTGAGTGGTATCCAGCAGTTTCGCGACCACACTGGTGTGATCGGCTGAATCCTCGTCATCGCCCTGCAAGCATTATTATTAAACATGCATAAGCTACGATGAAATCGAGACACATACCTCCTCGCGCAACAGATTTTTGGGTGCAAGTCGGCCCATGAGTTTTTTGAGCGGCAGATTTTGGAGGATGGTCTCGGTTGCGGTAGAATGGAATGGAGGATGACACGGACCAATCTGCCGTTTTCCAACTTCAAGGAAAAGATAAGATCGGGGTCTGTGCTTTGGGTGAGGCAGAATGCCGCGCCTTCGGGCTGATCGAGCCACGCCGTCGAGGGTGTTGGCACCATTGTCGAAGGCCCGGGTGAGGTAAAATGTGAGGAAAGAGGTGAAGGATCTAGAAGTGGCGTTTGGCTGGTGACGACCGAGCACTGTAAAGTAATTGTGTTCAAGGTCAACTCGAGGAAAACCAGGTTAGCGTTTGGGAGGTTCACAGAGCCATCGCGCGGCCCTGATCAGGAACATGGGCTCATCCATTCATCGATTGGATAACGAAGCGATTCATCGTCCTCGTAATCTGTGGGACGATGTGTCGTAGTCGTCTCGATGTAATCGTTTAGTAGTTTATGCGGCGTTTTGAATCTGTCAATGAGCGCCTTGATTAGGGCATCTGTGGAACGATACCTGCAAAGAAGATTTTGGATGTCATAAGAGCAGTTGTTGGACAGTACGTACCTGCCGCTACACCATCTCCGCACACACTGGAGGAACATTTTCCCTGCTGGCGACACTCTGTAGGAGGGTGTTAGAAAGCGTGATAAATAACGACGGTGCTCGGCCTCGTCGTCGAAGCCACCAGTATCCGAGGTCCAGCGAATCGCGCGCGCAAACGGTGCGGATTCAAAACCGTCCTTGGGAATATCCATGCCCAAGACTACGAAAGAGGCTTCCTGGGGCTGCGACTTGACCGCCCACCTCTGGATAATCTCGCGAAGGAAAGAGTACGGTTTGCTTTCGTGCTTGAACGCGCCGGTGTTTTCACGCGAAGCTAGCTGAGCTTCGTCGACGACGTAAAAGAGGTGGAACTGCGCGCGTGGATTTTTCGCAGCGCAGAAAAACATAACAGCGATAAGCTCCTACACTTCATTGGGTTCGAGCTCCTCTGGGTAAATTTTGAGGTCTGTCAAAATGTCGTACTTATATCGCCGGGAAGCTGTGGTACAAGCTGAAATAAGAGCCATTTTTTTTCATGCTCTGCAGTGATTCCAATGGATTGAATGATTTCGGAATACATCCGGAACATGAGCAGCCGGGCCAACAGAACGAGGCTGAACCGGTCGTCCGTGATTTCGATGTTTCTTGTCAGCGCACTGGAAAAGCTGGCGGAATCCGCGGGAGGTAGTTGTCGTTGAAAGTTCGTTGAACCATCGAGTCTCTGATAAACCTTCGGTCCGATGTCGGCCGCTCTCAGGTTATTCACGTCGCGGACCAAGGTGAAATAGAATCCCCAATGTCGACAGAGACCCTCGTCTTACCGGACCCGGAAGTGTTGACGAGGAATCTGGGGAAGGCATTGGTTCTGGGAATGCATCAAACTGACGACTCACGTATTGGCATTCTTTTGAAAGATACCGTCGACCCGGTTTCTGAGTTTAGGATCTTCTTGGAATCTCAGGGAGGCTCGGCCGTGTTCCTACTGCAGGGATTTCCAGAGATTCTATATGCGCAACGACACTCGGATCTGGCTTGAGATCCGGATCTGGAGTCCGCCGCTTGAACGCATTGTCACTATTCATGAAATTCACAAAGCGTGGTCGAATTTTGTCCAAAAACGTGTTGATACGATCCTTTTCCTTTGTTCGTGGTATCGAACCTATGCATCGTTAACGGCGCCTCATCTGCAAAGAAAAGACTCAGGATGGCTTTGAACAAGACCGGAGTGTTTACTTACGTATCCAGTTCCAAATAATGCCATGCATAGCTCCCTGTCAGTATACAATGGATTCAACGGGTTCAGTTCGGCGGCGACGATCCTCGCAAGTGGCTGCATCCTGGATATCTAGATGACTGTCCTGAAGGGGGAAATTCCGATGAAATTGTTGGCTGAAGGTAGGAAAGAAGCCTGATGTCATTGATGTCTGATGTGATGCCCCCCTATCCTTGTGTCTTTGTTCTGTCTCTCGAAGTTGTCTTGAAGTCGACGACGAATCGGAAAAGCAGGGCCTCCTTGTATGACGCAAAAATGTTCAGCAATGCCGATGCCTTAATACTCTTGACTTCATGAGGTGATCTTCAAGTGTTTCGAAGAAGGTTGTGACTACGGACTCACTCTCGCTCGCCGCTGGCGACAACCTTTAAAAGCCTTTTACTGCGAACCGCGCTCTGACAGAGTTTCTGGAGGAGTGCGATTGAAACTATTTTCCTGTGCCTACCACATGAACCCATACAAATTACACCATCCAAGCGCCCTTGCGGTGGAGAATCCAGTGTTCTGCGTAATTCTGGAGGTATGAAATGCGTGATAATAAAAGAAGTAAACAATGGATAAGCTTACAATAGACCCAATTGTAGTCTAGCCACTTGCAGAAGACGATCCCGAATGAGTTGCCATGATTGTTTATGTATTCGCAGTCATGGGTCCAGGTGGAAAATGATGATATCGCTGGGTCCTATGAGCACCTCAGATTTAACCCCATTGCCAGCGCCGGAAGGTTTTCATTGGGGAAATGGAACCAGAGGGGGCTATATACAGTGAGCAGAGCGAACGCATGAAATATTACAAGTTCGCGCCAAAAAATCCACGCAAGGACTAGTATAGTACATAGCGCTTCCGCACTGATCATCGCCATCTACCCAAGTATCGGGTCCCTGAGTACGGCAGAACTGTGCTAGGCAATTCCCAGTGGATATAGACCTGGTGACCTTGTTTTGTGTCTCGGCTGAACAAGGCAGTCAATTGTTCGTTCGCGTTATTGTCAAGACAAGCCGCGGTCCATGCAAAAAAAATGGATAATTGAGGCTTGGAGTGTTTCCTTGTTTTTGTGAACCTGGTCATCTTCAGAGTTTCTCGTGAGCTTGTTCGGTAGTGCTCCGAGTCGGCGATGCATTTGCCAAGGTAGTATTTTTGAAGCCGCCGGTAAAATATCTCCGTTTTGCGATGCATCGTCAAAATTTTGGGGTAATTGGACCTTCGATTACCCGGACAGTGCAGAGATGCGGTGCGGACAGACCTGTGCTTTGACTCGTGGCTTGGAGGAACACCGCCAAGACGAAATGCGCAGCCGATTTGCTTTGTCAGCGCACATAATTAAAGCCCGCTTCCGCTTCGTGCCACTGCTACTTGCTTGCTGCTCCTTGTAACGGCGATATCCTGCCTCAAGCGCTTCTCTGCGGGAAGTTTGATACAAACCGCATCTACAATCTTCAAAAAGGACCAGCAATCACTCTATCTGCAGGCGACTTGGACCCACAGATTTGCCACAGAGCACGGAACCTACCCGGTTACAGACACCCTATTACCCTCGCTCACCGAATGGCAGACAAAAAGGTAACCTTTCTTTGCCTTTCCTGCATGCAGTTGACCAATTCCATAGGCCATGTCTCGTGCACTAGGCGCCGCGTTTCTCAATCACCAAGTGGAGCAGCTAGAGAAGTCTGCTGCCTCAGGAAACTGGCGGAGCCGGGCCCCGAACCCTCAGTCGTCGCCCAAGCGTGGCCCGCAGCCGGGTAGTAATGCGACTATTGCCACCACGGCTAAGCCAGCCCCACGGAAGAAGAATG